GGTTATGAAAACGTTCGTCGTTGAAAGATTATTCGATACACATCGGTTATAGGTTCAAGTAAATCATATTTACTATGCCAGAAACCTTCACGGGAGTGTATTAAACAACTTCCCAAAGTTTCATGGCAATTGGATAAATGGTGTAGTAATGCATGAAGGACAACACGGATATACATTCATTTTTATATATATAGATAAGTAACACTTTAACCAAATTGAACAGCCTTCAATCTTTGTATATCATATAAAGCATTAGAATAGAATTGCTTCAGAATAGAACCAGTGGGAAAAAGATATATCAAAAGATTTCAAATATATGTCCTGATGAGTAAAATTTATGAGTCTTTGGAACACGTGTCCTGTTGACAGTGAAAGGTTAAAATAAATTTAGTTAAATTTAATCTCCATGTCTTTATAATATGCATGTCCAGTTTTCATTTAGGAAATCTGGCAACCCTACATTGAACTAACAAACAAGCTATTATGATTTGTAAAGATAGTTTTTAAAACTTAGCACTCTAATCATCAGAATCTCATAAATAATAATAATCAATAAATAATAATAATTTGAACAACTTACAGATTTTAATATTTATTTCATTAATGCTTATTAAATTACTAAAAGCATGTTTTTGTGTAGCCGACTGAATGCTGGTTGTTTGATTATATTTTACATCACTTTAGGTTTATGTTGTTTCTTGAAAATTGTTTTTGTTTGTTTTTTATTTTGGTTAAATGAATTCGGGTTAACACATGAAAACATGTCTTACGTTTGTATATTATCTAAGTGTGAATTTTCATTCATCATCATTAATTCTTAGTTTAGAAAAAGTTAAAGTAAATGGAAGTTTAAAAATACTTAAATAAAACAATTACAAAGTAAATGTATTTTTTAATAAAAAAAAGTCACACATTACGCGATACATATTTCTTTACTGAAAATTCATCATACATTAAAAAAAACTACAAAGAGAATAAAGATGGCTGCTCATCTTAAGACATTTCATTTCATTGACCATAGAGTAGTGCTGCAGCTTGTCGCTTTTCACTCAGGAAGAAACAGTGAGGAAGAGGCGGTGTTATAGAAGACGACCAATCCGAGGAAGACAGGAGAAAAAACTACTGACCAAAGCCGGCCTTATAAGAGACAACCCCCGCGAGAAAGGGAGACAGAATGCCTTCCAGGAGGACTTGGAGGGAAAGCTAGCCCCTATTCAGGCGTCATTGGCAAGCAGAAAAACCCGGAAAAACTCCAGCTGCCAGCTCCTCCGAGTGAGGCGCGAACCCCCGATCGGACTTTGTTTAGGATTTGGTCACCCGATCTTAAGACGAAATCTATTAGTTTAATTATGAAGTAAAGTCACCATGCGCCACCTGCATTANCCGGTTATTGTAACAGCAATGACACCTATGGCTGTCTTCACTCTATTTATAGTAGAGGAACAAAGATTGCATAATCCTACTCATCTTCTTGACCTCTTTAAAACACGTTTAGAATTCGTGTATAGGAAATCAAATGATGATCAAGGTCATAATAGATAATTCAAGAAAGACAAAAAGTATTTATCCAATTTTTATGATGAATGATCAAATTAAAGCTGATAAGGAATCAGGTTTTCTTTTCCTCATTCATCATTGAAGTTGATTATTCGATAATATAGAATTAAATAGAGTTTGAAAAGTAAAAATAATTTAAATTAAATTCTGATGCTTTATAAAATATTCGATTTTCTTAAAGCTCTAATGTAATTTCCACAGCAGTAATTTCAGGCAGAAGTCTTAAAACACGCAAAGCCAATGTTAATCTGTGTGTAAACTGTATAATAAAGTTTTACCATTCTGCAATAGAAACTGAATTGTAAATTCATCAGTAAGCGGTATCGAAATAAAATATTAATTATTAACAAACAAACATTTTATCTCGAAGTAATATTAATTTATATATGTTCGATTGATATTTAAAATAATTATCGGGTTATTTGTATTTATGATATACGTAATTTTTTTTTCTGTTGAATTTTATTATTTCAAAATTCTCAATTTTGTATATAAATCAATACATATTTTTTTTACAAATTTATCCATTAAAATATCTTCATATTTATTATTAATTTAGAATTCGTAAATGGATATTAATACGTGCGGCTAAATATCCAGATGGCACAAAGCGCTGATTGGTCAGCTGAATGACGTCAACCCACTGAAATATAGATTATATTTTGTGGTCGTCGGAACGAATCATGACGAAATAGATTATTTTTTTTTTAGTTGTCGTAATATGGAGTGAGTATAAAGTGAAAATACAGTTGATTATTTTTGTGAACATTTAACTTCATACTTGATCTTTATGCACCTCTGAACCAAATCATACACAATAGATCATTTTAATTGTGCGATTAGTGTTTTAAATTTACGTGCACAGATAATAAATAACATAAAATTTATACTTTGTTACAGCTATTATTCATAAAAAGTTCGAGAAAGGATGAAATTTATAATTAAGATAAGTCAGAATATTCTTTGAATTTATCACATGCATTTAATATAGTTAGATGAAACAATAAAATTAACTAAGTTTTGCATACCTCTGAAAGAGAAATTTTAACAAATTATAAAGTTTAAATGTAAAAGTTATTGAACAATTTTGAATAAAGAATATTCTCCATAGATTACTCTTATCAGAATTTTTTTTTTAATGTTTTAGTTAGAATTGGCAGTTCTTTCTGTCAATAGACATTTTGTGCTTTTGAATATCAGTTCAAAATCTGTGTGTTAAGAAACAATACTTCTCAAATTTACAGAAATTTCATATATCCAGTTTCATCATGGATATATGTATAAATATGTTTAATCAAATTTGTATGACCATTTTTCAAATTAAAAGTATAGAATTCTTGTATAAATTATTTAACAATCAATAAAACTGTAAGTATTTAAATTCCTTTGATTATAATAGTTATATATGTTTTAAATAAGAATTTCCATACATTTCATCGTGGAAATTGTTTATCAATATGTGTCAGGAAAAGTAATGTTACATTTGTACTGTAATGTTTTCGTAGTAAACTACCTTTTTAATCCTTTTATTTTTTTGTTAAAATAATATTACCATACTAATGAATAACTATTTCTAGATGCCTTGTATGTGCAGTATACCTGATTGTGTAGAAAAATATATACCCAGTGTCTATATTTAAGTTTTCACAGGAATTAATTTGAAAAGTAAACCAATGGATTAGAGAATTTGTAGAAAAAATAACTTATTATTTTAAATGTTTTAACAATTATGCATTAAAAAGTATGAATTATGTTTAGTTGAAAATATACATTAAATTGTTAACTAATCTGCATTTTCACTTAGCATATTCTGTTGTAATATATATATATCATTAAATACAAGTTNGATGCCTTGTATGTGCAGTATACCTGATTGTGTAGAAAAATATATACCCAGTGTCTATATTTAAGTTTTCACAGGATTTGATTTGAAAAGCAAACCAATGGATTAGAGAATTTGTAGAAAAAATAACTTATTATTTTAAATGTTTTAACAGTTATGCATTAAATTACTCAATTATGTTTAGTTGAAAATATACATTAAATTGTTAACTAATCTGCATTTTCACTTAGCACATTCTGTTGTAATATATATATATCATTGAATACAAGTTTCTGTAAGGTTAAAAATACTGTATTGTCTAATAAAGAATGTTAACTAATCTGCATTTTCACTTAGCATATTCTGTTGTAATATATATATATCATTAAATACAAGTTTCTGTAAGGTTAAAAATACTGTATTGTCTAATAAAGAATGTAAATAAAACTTAATTTGCAATTTATATTTGTTGTGTTTGATTATTTTATTATTAAAGTAAATTTACAAAAAAGCTTTAAAAAAAATACAAAACAGATAAAAGTTGCTTCTTGATGTTTAAAAATGTCTCAGCATTAAAATCTTTGATATCACGTAACTTAGTTTAATGTTAAAATTATTGCAAAATTTTCAATTAATGTCAATACACACAAGAGCTAGTGAAATTATAAATAAGTGCCTTTTACCAAGTTTCAGATGAAATGTCTATAACTATTATATAATGTCTGCCCGCTCTCACAACAACAACAACAACAACAATATAAAATTTAAGGCGATCGATCAAAATTTCCGATTTTAGTAGATTGACGTCATTCAGCTGACCAATCAGCGCGTTGTGCCATCTGGATATTTAGTCGCACGTGTCCAAATAGCTTATACGACAGTAGTGGAAACTCTCGTGAATTAGCATGTACTAGAGCCCTATAGCATGTACCGTAGTGGAGACAGCGGGAATTAGCGACATCTAGTGGTTTGAGGAGAATACTAACACCGAAGACTATGTAAAGTCTAACAAAACTTGCAAAAATGCAACGAAATAAATATTTTATCATCTTTTTGTCTTTATTTTATGATCTGAAAACATGAATTATAATTTTATTTAGTAGGAAACGTTGATGGATAGTGATTCAAAGGAAGGAATAATAGCAACAAAACAAATCAAATGCAATGAATCAGATTTTTTAAATTAAAATCCGAGGTTTTAATTTCATTTTATTAAATTAAAACACATTGAACACCAAAATGTATTATGTGCACAGTTTGATCACACAGGTCATGGATAATACAGTTATTACATATGTGAAATCCTTAATTTAGCATTTTTTGTTCTCAGAAAACTTTCAGATGAATCATTATTTTTTGTCACATATGCTTTAATAAGGACTTTGAAATATTTATCTGCTAATAATTTAATACAATTGTCACAAACACCTTTAATATTTGCATTCTTTAAGAAATAATTAATTAACTTAGTTTTAATTCCATATGGGCTCTGTAACAAAAATATATTAAAATTGTTTTGAAATATTGCTGACATTTCTGAAGATAATTTTTTCCCACACCCATTTGGATACAGCATTCTGCAATTGTCATCATATTTTTTCATTTCTATGTGAAAATTTCCCATTTCCCTATGTGAAAATTCCCCATCTTTTTTCGTAAAATGGTCAGAACACATGACGTAGTTTCTATTTAAATATTCTGGCCCTTTTGTTCTTAAAATATTGTCTAAGTCGGACCTTCTGCTTTTAACAATCCACTGAGTGCATCTGAAAATCAATATAAACACATACGTTGAATGATAACAATATTTTCAATGAGGAATGTTGATATAAATATAAACAATCTAATTGCTTATGAATTTACTTACACTTGTTTGTTTTTAGGGAATCTGTAAAACGACTTG